AGCAGGTGCACAACACCACACCTGGCTAGTGTTTGTATTTTTTAGTAGAGACAGGGTTTCGCCATGTTTGCCAGGCTGGTCTCGAACTCCTGACCTCAGGTGACCTGCCCACCCCAGCCTCCCAAAGTGCCGGGATTATAAGTGTGAGCCACCACACCTGGCCCTAGGACATTTTAAGAGCAGTAGGTGCTCACAAACCAATGATTGCCCAGAGGATGAATAGCTAGGGCAGTGAGAGGCTCAAGTGATTTTCATGCCTCAGCCTCCTGAGTAGCTGGGACCACAGGTGCACACCACTATGCCTGGCTAATTTTTTTTGTTTTTGTTTTTGTTTTTTGTACAGACGGGGTTTCACTATGTTGCTCAGGCCGGTCTCGAACTCCTGACCTCCAAGAATCTGCCCACCTTGGCTTCCTAAAGTGCTGGGATTACAGGCATGAGCCACTGCGCCTGGCCAGGAAGAACTTTTTAATAGCGTCTGCCGTAGCAGTAGCAACGTTCTGAGATGAGAAGGATTCAACCGCCGTGGCAGGGCTAGAGGGGAGTCAACGCTTGAGAGTCCAGGCTTTTCTCCTGCCAGGCCTGCTGAGCAAAGCCTGGTGTCCAGACTGTCCAGGAAGTGCAGGGTCACGCTGCCACATCAGGGAACCACGGACAGGGGACGGACTCCCTGGCTCAGGGTTTTCCCACCCTCCCCAAGGGACTCTGTCTGGAAAATTGCCCCTTGCCTCACCCACGCCTGCTGCCAGGCCTCCTGCTGTGCTATTTCCAGGAAAGACGCTACCATGACCTCCTTCATTGTTCAAGAACCCCAAGTTCTTAGGTCCAGCCTAAACCGTTCCTGGGACTGGATGAAAAATACGTCTGTGGGCTCTGTTTCCCATGATGGTAGGTATGACTGGCCCTCTCCTTTGAATGAAGAACCGCTTTGTTGACCAGAGAGAAAGGGGCTGCAGTGGGCAACCCTTCCCTTTGGACTCGGCACGCCCTTGCTTAGTCGGAAAGGTCTTCAGCACTGTGTCCCCTTTCCTTGAAGTTGGAAAGCAGCACAGAGTCCCACATGCCCCTTTTCCTCTTCTCCCTCTGCTGGTGGTGACCTTCAGCAGGTGGGTAGCCCTGAAGGACCGCCTCACTGCACTCCCTCTAGCTCATCAGTGGATTTCCTCTGCAGGGATCACTCACCGCGCTCCGCATGACTCACTCACTGTGGCCAGCACCAGGCTGCGTGAACCTGTCCACCCGCCCTGCCTCCCTCCTGAGCAGGAGTGGCCCTGGATCCCTCCCTCCTGCACGCCTGACACATTGTCCTCCTATGACTGCTGCTCTACAGCATGTAGGGCACAACCTTGGGAGGCCTTTGCCTGATCCCTACTTAAAGTGTCATGGGAAAAAGAGCCTTGAATCAAACACACTTGATTGGCGACTCAGCTGCTAATCTGAGATGCCCTGGCTTCTCGTCGGGGGTAGGGGGATGATTTTTGAGTCCCAGTTTCACCCCTTGCTGCCTGTCTGAAGTTGAGCCAGTTACTTAACTCTCTGGGCCTCAGTTTCCTCATCCATAAAATAAGAGTAATCATGATACCTGCCGGGCGTGGTGGCTCACGCCTGTAATCCAAGCACTTTGGAGGCCAAGGCGGGTGAATCACCTGAGGTAGGGAGTTGAAGACCAGCCTGACCAACATGGTGAAACCTCGTCTTTATATTTTTTTTAAAAAAGAGTAATCATTGATACGTACTTCCAAGTTGTGTTGTGAGAATTAAATAATTCAAAGCAGAATCATTTAATTTAGATGTAGATTCATTTATTAAAATGTCTGACACATAAATATATACAAGTGTTGTTACTGGTTTGTTTGTTTTTTTTTTTTTCTTTAAGCAGGGTCTCGCTCTGTGGCCCAGGCTGGAATGCAGTGGTGTGATCTCGGCTCACTGCAACCTCCGCCTCCTGAGGCGATTCTCCTGCCTCAGCCTCCTGAGTAGCTGGGACTACAGGTATGCACCACCACGCCCAGCTGATTTTTGTATTTTTAGTACAGATGGGAGTTTCACCATGTTGGCCATGCTGGTCTCGAACCCTTGGCCTCAAGTGAGGGGCTCTTTTAAACAACCTTGTTTGGGCTCCATCCCACACCCCTCAACGCCCGCCTTGGCCTCCCAAAATGCTGGGATTACAGGTGTGAGCCACCAGGCCCAGCCCGTATTTTTTAATTTAATAAATAAATAATGTATGTTCCCTGTTCAAATTATTTTCCCTTACCAAGCCTTAATTTCCTCATCTGAAAAATGGCAATAATAATGTCCACCTCCCTGGACTTGTCAGTATTAAATGAGTGAGTGTCTATAAGCTCCCAGTTTTAGGGTATAGCACATAATGTGACTACAAGGTCAAGCAAGTAGGGCTGGGTGGGTGTTGAATCTCCTTCCCTTGTGCTGGAGAGCCTTCCCCGACTCCCCTCCCATCCTAGGTGTTCTCTGCCTCCTAACTCCGCAGCAGTTCAAGCAGGAGGGAGTCTTTCTGGGCAGATGCCTGCCTCCCAGCCTGCAGGCCTCAGAGGCAGGGCTTATGGCTTCCTCTCCCTGGCTTTTTCCTGGACTGTCCAGGGTCCTGCAACCAGCAGAACCTAAGAACTGTGCAGACCTCACCCGATTCACCCCTGCCCTCCCTCTCCATCTCGCACTGACGTTTTTTCAACCACAAATAGTTATTGAGTGCCCACTACCGTGCCTGGCCTGCCATCCCTCCCCTCCACCAAGGCCTACAGGGATGAAGATGCCTGCAGGAACCAGGGGGAGAAAAATGAGGCCGAGAGGAAGGACCCACGAGAGCTCTGAAATGAGATAGAAACCACATCTGACTGGAAATTTCATTCACTCAACACTCCACATCTTGGCTATTAAAAAGAGGCAGAGATTTGGGATGAGGGGTAAACAGGATGAGTCGCAGTTCAGTGACTCGCTCGGTGATATTGTGGCTTGCCTCTCTTTGCCTCAGTTTCCTCAAGTGTAAAATAGGGATCACAATAGCACCTGCCTGGTAAGATGTGAGAATGAAATGAGATGCCTGTAGACACCTTGGCGCTGTCTGTGCACACAGCAGCTTCCTAAGGAAATGGTCCTACCCGGGACGTCATACAGAGGTTAATCAACAAAAGGGCCTGGCTTTTTTTTCTCTCCAGGACAGGACGTCCCAACCTTTCTTAGTCCATAACACGCCTCTGGATGTGATAGAATATATGAAGGGGCCTCCACCCACAGCATGACCAGTCCCAAGCATCCATAATCACACACATACCAATATGTACACACACACTCACACTCATAAAGGTTTTACACTCCTTGAAGGCACACTAACTCACCATTTTTATCATACGTGTCCCAGTGTGCCACAGCTACTGGCCTATAAGCCTGTCTCTGCCATCTTATTTTAGCTTTCTGTCCCCAGAACTCAGCAAACTACCCTGCCTTCAATAAGGGTGTATGAATTATTCATGAATCCATTTCCCAGGTGTCCAGCCCGGTGTCTGGCCTGATGTAGGTGTCCCCAGGGTGTGGCGTGGCTGAGTGAATACGAATAGAAGGTACATAAAAACCCTCAGCCCTGCCCTCCTCTCTTCTCCATGCTTACCACCCCCTCCAGTTTCCAGACCCAACACTGGCAAAGAGCGCTGATGAAACCCAAAACTCCAGGGCACACCCAGGCACGGAAAGGTCAGGCACCTGCACAGGTGAACGGTGCGGCCAGAGGGATCGCCTCCACATTTCAGCCTGGGGATTTTGGGGGAACAGCTTCACAAGGAGCTGCTCTCTGGCTGAACCCATTCTCCTTGTCCTGTAAGGCCCCTGTCCCCAGCCTTCGGGCTCACTTGCAGCCCTAACCTCCACGACCCCCCCACCTGGCTTTCTCCGTAACATAAATTTGTTTCATCCCCTTCTGAACAAAGACCGACAGCACCCACCTCCACAGCACCTGCGTGGCCTTGCCCCCCCTCACCTGGGCTCACCTCTCCATCAGACTCTCCTGCTCAGGTGGACGAGGTCTTATACTTGGCTGGCATCTTGCTCTCAAAGAGGGATGGAGCTGAGCACACCCCTGCCCTTTTGCAAGCATCCCTCCCACTTGCAGGAGGGAGAAGAGAACGGGAAGGAAGGAGCAGAGAGGGCAGGGGAGGGCAAGCCTGCTCTGACAACCACGCTCTGGGTGAGCCTCGGGTGCTAGGATGGTTCCACCGGGCAGGGACGTCAGTCCAGCAGGCTGAAGGCTCCTCACCCTCAGGTCTGAGGCTCTGCCTGCCCAGTGAGCACCTCAGCACCCTGGACCACCCTGCCAGGCGCAGGCGCCAGGAAGAGGCAGCGGGACTGACCGACCTGTAGGGATTGAGGGTGCAGATGGTGACCGCGGGGAAGACGAGCTTGTCGGAGTTGAGGTTGATGTTGAGGCTCACGGGGTAGCTGAAGTACTCTCCGAACAGCAGGCCGAACTGCCAGTACATCACGCCAAAGGTACAGAGCCACAGCACTGCCCAGAAGGCCGTCTTCATGCGGTTGTGCTGCGAGCACACCAGGCGGATGGCGCCGTGGATGGTGGTGTTGTTGCAGAAGAACTCGAAGAGCTCTCGGTAGGAGCGGTGGAACTCGATCAGGGCCTCCTCCTCCGCCGTGGGCTGCTGCGGTGCCGCCGGTTCGGGGCCCAGCCCCTGCTCCTCATGCTCGTCCCCCTTCCTGGGCCTTGGGGTGGGCTGTGGAGGTCTAGAGTCCTGCTCCTTCAGCTTGTCCCCCTTCCTGAGCCCTGGCGTGGGCTGCGGAGCTTTAGGGTCCTGCTCGTCCAGCTTGTCCCCCCTTCGTGAGCCCCGGAGTGGGCTAGGGAGAGCAAGCGTCAGGGTCAAGGCTGAGCTCTGGACCCTGAGTGCCCTCTCCCATCACCTCTGGAACCTGAGTGAGGCTGCCCCTGGCCAGGCCCACGTCCCACCCGGTGCCCACATTCTCCTCCTCCTCCCTCCCTCTTCCACCTTTCCTGGAGCCAGCAAACCTGCCGGAGCTGGGGCCAGAAGTGCCGCGGCTGGGCTTCCCGGGAACGGCCTCTCCTCTACTTCCCTGACAGGGCCACCTTTTGGTTCCCGTCCTAGCACCCCCCTTTCTGTCTCCGAAGCAGTCTCTGCCCTCCTCCTTCGGCCTTCTTCCTCCGGGATCTGCATCTCAGCTCCTGCCTCTCACTCCCTCTCTGTCTGCCTTCTGTTTCTCTTTGGGTGTCTCCCAGCTCTCCTCTTCCTGGCCTGGCTCCTCTCTCTGATCCTGCCTCTCTTCCTCTTCCCCCTTGCCTTACCCCCTCTCACTCTAGACCCTCACCTCCAGCCTCTGGCCCTGACCTCGAGCTGTGTCCTGATTCCGTCTCCGCCCCAGGACGGCAGGGCTCCGGGAGGTCTGGGCTGCCTCCAGCTTCCCACTCCCAGGTTGCGGCTGGACTGGGACTGGTTCCTTTCCAGTTGAATCTGGCAGCCAAGCCTCTCCTCCCCCTCACCTGACAGGTGCAGCGGCCTGACTGGGGAGCCCGCCTGCCGGCTGGCCAGAAGTAGAAGCAACAGGAGCCTCATTAGCATCTCAATTAAAGGTGAGCAGGGCGTGGGGAGAAGCCGAGTAGGAGTCAGAGCTGGGAGTTTTCCGAAGGGAGGAGGGATCCAGAGGGCAGGTGAACCCGGAGTATTGGACCTGAGACGGTGGACTCTGGGCAGGGGCTTTGATTCGGAGCTGATAGGCAAGGAGGCTGGGGGACAGGATGGAGGTGGAAGGGCAAAGATCTGAATAAGTAGAAGGATCCTGAGCCCACAGCCTGGAGGGCAACGCAAAGAGAAGGGGCCAGCCAGGTTGAGAGGGCCTGGATGGGGAACCCTGAGGCTGGGAGGACAGAAAAAGGGAGGTAATAGAGAGGGACAGTGGACAGCGCGGGACGGAGAGACAGGGATGGAAGCGGGGCACCGAGTGAGCAGAGGTGGAGAGGGGGCTGCACAGAGAAGGAACCGGCCCCAAAGGGAGCCGCTCTCCAGGCAGGAGTGCAAGGGGGAAGTCCTAAGTGTGCTTCCAGGAGCTAGAGTCTCTGCAAGTGGGAAACCCGCCAAGGGCACTGGCAGGTCAGCCTCACCCCAGGCCCAGGAGAGAAGAGAGAAGAGGTCTCCGTAAGTCTCCTCCTGCTCACTCAGGTGGGGTGCATCTGCCTCCACCTGGTCCATCCTCTTTCCTGCTGATTCCTCACCACCCCCTCCGACCTCGTCCAGACCCAGGGAGGGGCCCAGGTAAGGCTGGAGGTTGGGCAGGGCCCTAGGACATTCTGTTCTTTTTTACACCATTGGCTGCCAGGCCAGGAATGTGTAATGGCCCCTGTTGTGGTCACGGGGTTGCAGGAATGTGGGCACCCTGAGGCAGCTCAAGGGCCAGGCAGGACACTGTGGGCACAGACCTGGAGCCCAGGGAGAGGCAGGGAAAGCAGACAAGGTGCAGGGAGGATGTGGCCAGCGCTGGCTGTCGGGGAGGAAGAGGGTGGGCATGGCACAAGCCTGCACAGGCCTCGAAAGGAGCAGAAACTCATCGGTAGGGGCTGTATTTTTCTCCAAAATCTCTTTCCAAACTGAATGCAGCAAAAGGATAAGGAGTGGAGTGCCAAGTGGTGAGCAAGGAGAGAGGGAAGGGTCAGAGACTCGGGCCCAGAAAGAGGGCTGGAGGAGACTCGGGAGAGCCACCCACACAGCCCAGGCCCGGTACGCAAAAGGGAGGGCTGCGGCTCCCTCCCCTCGAGGGCCCCACCGGAGGCAGCCCAGAGTGCAGGAATGTGGTCACTGGTCTGGCCTGCCTCCCTCCGCAAGCCTGCAGACAAAGGCCCAGCCTGAGCACTGATACAGACTTGGGGGATACTTAGGCCTGCAAATAGGTAGCTGCGGCATCATAAGATAAGTTTTCTATGTACACATTTTAAAAGATCATTTTTAAAAGAGACTTCTCACCAAAGTGCGGGTCTCAGATTTCTCAGAGATAAGAGCCAAGGGCTGGGGGAGCCTAGGGAGGGAGGCAGGGGAGCTCACTGCGGGAGACTCGGGGAAGCCTTCCCAGAGAAGGTGTCATCTCTGCTGATTCTGTTTTCTTCTTTTTTTTTTTTTTTTTTTTCCTTTTTGAGACAGAGTGCTGCTCTGTCGCCAGGCTGGAGTGCAGTGGCACGATCCCAGCTTACTGCAACCTTTTCCTCCCGGGTTCAAGCGATTCTCCTGCCTCAGCTTCCTGAGTAGATGGGAATACAGGTGTGTGCCACCACACCCAGCCATACTTCTTGTATTTTTTAGTAGAAACGGGGTTTCACCATGTTGGCCTGGATGGTCTTGATGTCTTGACCTTGTGATCCGCTCATCTCAGCCTCCCAAAGTGCCAGGATTACAGGCGTGAGCCACCGTGCCCCGCCCTGAATCTTGAAGAGCAAGGAGTTTACCAGGCAAAGGAGAGAAAAAGCGGTCCGCCAGGCTCAGGGTCCAGCCTGGTCTGTGGCTTCCTCTCTTGTGGCTGTCCCTTGCAACTTCTTAAAGTGAGAGCCAGTGTCAGCCAGGATTCCAAACCAGGTCCCCTTGCTTACCTTGATACTGCTCACGATACCTCCCCTAGGAAGGGATGGCTGGATTTTTCTTCACTGTCCTGGTAAAGAAACTAACTCTTCCCAAAGATAAACCAGTTTTCTGAGGTTACAAAACAAAATAACAACAGAGCTATAAACAATTCAGAATTCTCCTCCTCCTCTGGGGTTGTCTCCTTAGTGCTTTTGCCATTTACTTCTGAGACAGACTCATGAGGGATCGGGGCTCCCAAGCACCTGGATGCGAAAGCCGGGAAGGCCCCCCTCACTCCCACACAGAGCCCATGGATTCATCCGCTCTCTGGGTGCTGGGTTATCTCCTTGGCTCTGTGAAAAGCTCTCTGCACTGTCCCCACTGCCCCAAAGATCCCAGATACCACCAGAAACTCCAGTGTCCCTGGAGCCAGGCCCTTACACTGGCCATGGTCCTCCCTGCAAACACAATGCTCAGCGCCCTGGCTGTTTGATCTCAAAGGTTCTGAAAAGCACCTCCCTGCCTTTTCTATTTGCTAGCTACAGCCTGAAATCCAACCACTGGCTTAAGGCAGCATGGCAAACAGTTTTCGTATCAAGGGCTCTGTGAGAAGAATTGCAATGCCTGGTCTGGGCTGAGCCAGAGAGCGGTGACCCTGCCATGTCCTGCCAGGCACGGGAGCGGCAATGGCCTAGCGCTGCAGTATTCTAGACCCGGAACGGGATAGAGCAGCTTGGTGTTGGGAGGAAAATAGACATCTGAGACCTGCACTTTGGTCAGAAGTCCATTTTAACCATGCTCTTTTAAAGTGTACCAAATAATCCACAAATACGTTTTGTCACAATACGATTTTCCAGCAATATAGAAGTATATAAAACAATAAAAGCTTCCCTTTGTCCCCTTCCTTCCCCACCCCCGAGGGGAGCCACCGTACTTTGTATATTTGTCTATATCTTTTCGTGTGCCTTTATAAACTTACATGTATTTTTTTTTTTTTTCTTTGAGGTGGAATCTCGCTCCGTATCCCAGGCTGGAGTGCAGTGACACGATCTCAGCTCACTGCAACCTCTGCCTCCTGGGTCCCGGTTCAAGCAATGCTCCTACCTCAGCCTCCCAAGTAACTGGGATTACAGGCATGAGTCACCATGCCCAGCTAACTTTTGTATTTGTTAGTAGAGACAGGGTTTCCCATGTTGGCCAGTCTGGTCTTGAACTCCTGACTTTGTGATCCACCTGCCTCGGCCTCCCAAAGTGCTGGGATTACAGGCATGAGCCACCATGCCTGGCCAACCTACATTTATTTTTAAAAAACAAAATATATAGTTCTTTTTTTATAAGAGGCAAATAGAAAAGCCAGGGAGGTGCTTTTCAGAACCTCCAGAAGAATATTGCTATTTTTCTACAACTTCCATTTTTGCTTTTATTTACTTATTTATTTTAAAGACAGTATCAAGTCGGGCATGGTGGCTCACGCCTGTAATCCCAGCACTTTGGGAGGCTGAGGCGGGTAGATCACCTGAGGTCAGGAGTTCGAGACCAGCCTGGCCAACATGGAGAAACCCTGTCTCCACTGGGGAAAAAAAAAAAAAAAAAAAAAAAAAAAAAGGTTAACTAAACACAGTATCATGCTGCTGTCCTCCAGGCTGGAGGATCATGGCTCACTGCAGCCTCCAGCTCCTGGGCTCAAGTGGTCCTCCTGCCTCAGCCACCCAAAGTGCTGCGATTACAAGTGTAAGCCACCATATTCAGCCCTTATTTTTGCTTTTAAACGATGTGACTTTGCGAAAGGCACTTGACCTCTCTGAGCCTCAGTGGTCTTACCTAAGAAAAGGAAAGGGCAAGAAGGGGTGGGTAAGGCAGCCCAGATGGGCACAAAGACTTTTTCCAGCTGACCCTGCATCTAGCCCCCTGCTTCACGCATGAGGGGACTGAGACCCACAGAAGCAAAGTGACTTGGTCACAGTCATCCAGGAGTTAGGGGTGGGGCCAGATTGAGAACTAGGCCACCCCTTTCAAAGCTCAGTTCTCTTTCTCTGACTCTGAGGGAAGTGCGATTTTGTTCTATAACAAGTCGAGGCTGGGTACAGTGGCTCATGCCTGCAATCCCAACACTTTGGGAGGTCAAGGCGGGTGGATCACCTGAGGTCAGGAGTTCAAGACTAGCCTGGCCAACATGGTGAAACCCTGTCTCTACTAAAAATGCAAAAATTAGCCAGGGAGGCTGAGGCAGGAGAATTGCTTGAACCCAGGAGGCAGAAGTTGCAGTGAGCTGAAATAGCGTGATTGTACTCCAGCCTGAGTGACAGAGCAAGACTCCTTCTAAAAAATAAAAAAAAGAAGTCAAGAGCTTTGTAGACTCTGTCTCGGAAGGACTACCTGCCTTCCCAGGACCACCCCAGATTCCCCCCAGAGCCCCAGCCCTTCCCATCAACCTAGGGCTGCCTTCCCCTCCCAACACTAGCCATCCTCTAACCCTGTGGCTTGGCCAAAATATGTGCATGGCTGCAGAGGGAGAAGTGAAACCAGAGGGCTGCCGTGGGATGAGGGTTATGAGTGCGAAGGGTCTTCCTGACTCTTGTTCTCCACAGACAGGAGATGACAAAGTCATCACCCTTCCCTCCACCCGCCTAGGGAGAGCTTATCTCCGCACTTACCACTGTTTACTATTATTTATTATTATTATTTACTATTATCCTGATGTACGTGTGTTTGTATAGATGCAAGGAGAGAGACCAGGCGTATTGATCTTGGTGACCTCAGTGTCTAGTGGTCTTTGCTTGCTGACCCACTCTGCGGAAGACAGCAGAACTACCTTCTTGGGTAAGACTCAAGGTTTATCTTGGACAGAGCGGGGTATGCTTTGATAAAGCAGCTGCAAAACTTCAACCATCCTAACTTCCTCTGACAACCCATTTATTTGTGTCTATTAATTTATCTAAATTTTCTTCACTTTTCCCTTTTCACTTCTATCCTTTCCAGGATGAGAATCAGTTACTTAGTTAAATGCAACTCTTTATTCTTACCACTTGGAGCCATTAGCCACTCCACACTGGACTGCTCACTGTGGAAGGCAGCAGTCCTTTTAGCTGCCCTTATAAAATACAGATTTTTCTTTCTTTCTTTCTTTCTTTTTTTTTTTTTTTTGAGATGGAGTCTTGATCTATTGCCAGGCTGAAGTTCAGTGATGTGATCTCGGCTCACTGCAACCTCCACCTCCTGGGTTCAAGCAATTGTCCTGCCTCAGCCTCCTGAGTAGCTAGGACACAGCTACAGGCACATGTCACCACGCCCAGCTAATTTTTGTATTTTTAGTAGAGACGGGGTTTCACCATGTTGGCCAGGATGGTCTCGATCTCTTGACCTCGTGATCCACCCACCTCTGCCTCCCAAAGTGCTGGATTACAGGTGTGAGCCACCGCGCCCGACCTCAGATTTCTCTTTCATCTAAAATGATGGAACAGAAAACTCTTCGTCTAGTGCCCTGGCAGATTACTTAGAAGCTCACTATTAGAAGTTTATCACTTAGTTAAGACAGGATTGGCCGGGTGAAGTGGCTCACGCCTGTAATCCCAACACTTTGGGAGGCCGAGGCAGGTGGATCACGAGGTCAAGAGATCAAGACCATCCTGGCTAACATAGTGAAACCCCATATCTACTAAAATACAAAAATTAGCCAGGCATGGTGGTGTTGGCCTGTAGTCCCAGCTACTCCGGAGGCTGAGGCAGGAGAATTGCTTGAACCCAGGAGGCAGAGGTTGCAGTGAGCCGAGATGACGCCACTGCACTCCAGCCTGGTACCAGGTGAAAGAGTGAGACTGTGTCTCAAAAAATAATAATAATAATAAAAGAAAAAAAAAAAAGACAGGGTTTACCAACCTTGGCATTATTGACATTTTCAGCTGTATCATTCTCTGTGGTGGGACAGGACGATTCTGTCCTATCTACAATTCTGTGCATTGCTGCACATTTACCAGCATCCCTGGCTTCCATCTGTCAGATGCCAGTAGAACTTCCTCCTGAGTCATCGTGATCAAAACCATCTCCTAATATTGCCAAGTGACTTCTGGGGGACAAAGTCACCCCCGCCGAAAAGACTGGGTTAAGGCATTGTCACCACTGAAAATGCAAACACTCTGGAGAAGGACAACCCTCATCAGTTACACACTTCTGGGTGTTTGCCAGCTCCTTTCCAAGAGCACTAGTCAGCTAAGAGCGGAGTGGGAAAGAAGGGACAGAGTATTTAGAAGAATCCATTCCTGGCTGGGTGCAGTGACTCACACCTGTGAGCCCTTTGCACTTTGGGAGGCTGAGGTAGGCGAACGACTTGAGGCCAGGAATTCAAAAACAGCCCAGCCAACATGACAAAACACCATCTCTACTAAAAATACAAAAATTAGCCGGGCCTGTTGGTGCATGCCTGTAGTCCCAGCTACTTAACTGGGGAGGGTGAGTCCAGGAGAATCGCTTGAACCTGGGAGGCGGGGGTTGTAGTGAGCCAAGATTGAACCATTGCTCTCCAGCCTGGGCGACAGACTGTGAGACTCTGAAAAAATAAAAAAAGAAGAATCCACTTTCACCAATTCCCTTTCTTGACGCCTCCTGGGCCTGTGGGAAGAAGGCTCTCTCAGCAGCTCCCTCTGAAGAAGGCCTGGGAGAAGAGCCCCACCCTCATACATCTTCTGGGGGTCCTGGGACACTCAGCCTGGATCTGGTGTTGCCCAGTGGAAATCAGCCTCAGGGAGATTGGTGAAGAACATAAAAGAAAGGAGAAAAGACAATGCCTGCCCGCATGAGCTCATGGATTTCTCACCCCTGTGAGTCTCCCTTTATCCTCCTGGGGAAGGCTGGGATTTATAGTAGCCATTTATTGGTAAGATTTGTCTTTCATGATCCAGCTGGGAAACAAGAAACACTCTTTCAAACAGCAGGAATTTAAGCTGGGCACGGTGGCTCGGGCCTGTAATCCCAGCGCTTTGGGAGGCCAAGGTGGGCCAATCACCTGAAGTCGGGAGTTCGAGACCAGCCTGACCAACATGGAGAAACCCCGTCTCTACTAAAAATACAAAATTAGACGGGTGTGTTGGCACATGCCTGTAATCCCACCTACTCGGGAGGCTGAGGCAGGGGACTTGCTTGAACCTGGGAGGTGGAGGTTTCGATGAGCTGAGATTTTACCATTGCACTCCAGCCTGGGTAACAAGAGTGAAACTCCGTTTCCCGCAACCAAAAAAACAAAAAAACAAACAGGAATTTAACACAGGAAACTAACTGGTACATAGGTGATGGAAGCACTATGGGAGGCAGCTCAGAAAACAGCGAAGCAGGAAGCAGCTACCATTTCTAGGCCTGGAAAGACGGCAAGGTGATGGAGCGATCGAAGATCAGGAGGCCTTTGGAGCCATGTGGCAGGAACTAAATAGTGCGGAACTGGTAAAAGATGAGATTATGGTAGGAGGGAAGGGAGGAAGGCAACCGACTGCAGGTGAAGCCCGAAAGCAGAGAGAGGAGGAATAGCCTGGCTGCTTCTCTCCTCCCACCCACCTCCATCTCACAGGCCTGCAAGCGAACCAGCGGCTGACTGGCACAATAAAGAGGCGCAGAGAGATAAAGTGATGTGGCCTAAATCAAAACTCAGATCTCAGGGCTCTTTCCTTAGGGGGTAGAGAGTCCCTGAGGGCTGAAGTGCCAGCTTGGGGCTGGCAGCAGAAAGAAGGATACAGTCCAACCAGCTGGGGTTAAAAGGGGTCTGACATAGTGGTTGTCTGTGAAGCAGGAAGCTTTGACTGGGAAGGGCACGCAGCGACCTTTTGTAGTACAAGAAACGTTCTGGAACAGTCGGGGGATATGCAAGAATACACAAAAGTGAAAATTCTCTAAGCTGTATCTGTAAGATCAGTGTGCTTTATGTGCTTCATTGTATTATATGTTATACCTTGATTAAAAGGCAGGGTCTCAGCACTGCAAGACAGGGTGGGGAAAAAAAGAAAGAAAGAAAAGGAGTCCCTGTCTTTTAGAGTAAAATCCTAAAATATTTTCTTTCTTTTTTTTTTTTTTTTTTTTTGAGGCGGAGTTTCGCTCTTGTTGCCCAGGCTGGAGTGCAATGGTGCCATCTCGGCTCACCGCACTCTCCGTCTCGCGGGTTCAAGCAGTTCTCCTGCCTCAGCCTCCCAAGTAGCTGGGATCACAGGCATGTACCACCACACCCAGCTAATTTTGTATTTTTAGTAGAGTTAGGGTTTCACCATCTTGCCCAGGCTGGTCTCGAACTCCTGACCTCAGGTGATCTGCCCGCCTCAGCCTCCCAAAGTGCTGGGATTACAGGTGTGAGCCACCTCTCCCAGCAATCCTGAGATATTTTCAAATGAAATGATCCGACGTCTGGGATTTACTTCAAAATAATCACGAGGGATTAGAAGAGCGTGTGTGTTGGTGGGGCAGGGGGTATACAGAATAAATGAAACTGACCGTGAGTGGAAGCTGGGTAGGGAGTATGTGGGAGACTCCCAATACTACTTTTTTTCTTTTTGTATATTATCTTGGGTGTGAAATTTCCACAGTAAAAAGTAGAAAGAAGAGAGAGAAAAAAGGACCTACGGTCACCACACACACATTCCTTTACGCATTTACAAGCTCAGTGCGGAGCCTCATCCAGCCCCGAGCACCAGCGCCTTGGAACGAGCAGCAGCCCCTTTTCCAGCCATCCCTGGCCCATCTGTACAGAGAGCTGCCTGCACCAGAGGAGGGGAGAGAGCCTCACCAAGTGAAATGCCCACCACCTAGGCCCTTTCACCCTTTGGGGACCTCTCCTCCCCATGCACATTTCCCATTACCTGCACCAAGAGCCTGTCCAGACATCAGAACCAAAATTAGACAGACCAGTGTAAGGATGCATGCTGAACAGAGCCCTTCAGGGAGGCAGATGGTGCCCAAGTGACCTATCTCAAGAGAATTTAGCCCCTCATCCCAAGGGAGACACCCCTGAGCCACAAGGAGGTGGCAGGACGGCTGGAATGAGCTGGGACCCAGACATCGGGAGACTCAGATTGCAGCTGGCTCTGCCGTGGACTGGCCCTGTGATGTAGCCATCACCTGTTTATTCCATCAATACGTATTGGGCACATGGTATGTGCCAGACTCTGCTATGCACGGGGAACATGGCCTTGAAGATTCAGTCTGCGCCACTGCGGCCCTCACAGCCTGGTGGGAGGCAGGCAAGACAACGGAGTACAGAAAGAGAGCTGTCTTCACGGGGACTGCGTAACCTCGGGCAGAGGACGCCCCCCCTCAGAGCTTCGGTGAAGCCTCAAGGACAGGCGGGAGTTAGGAAGACAGAAACCTGGGGACCAGAGAGCCACGTGTAAAAGGGGGCAGCTGCAAGTAGCTCCACAGGTGGGTGGGCTGCTAAGGGGTGAGGAAGATGAGGGGAAGAAAGGGGACAGGAACCAGACTAGGCTACCTTGGAATCCCAGTCCCCTTACGTGTCACCCTTGGCCTCCCTCTCCATGCTAAAGGGGAGAGGGCTGGACTGGGTGGGCTCCCAGCTTTGGACAAGGAGCAGGGCTGGCTGCACAGCTCTCAAGGGTCTCCTAGGTGACCTGTGCCTACTCCTGTGTGGATTGGGCTGGGTGGGTGGTGTAGGGGGCTGGCTGACTTGCTAGTCCCTTGTAATTTGTCTGAAAAAGTCCCACAGCAGGGCAGGAACCCAGGCGTCTGCCAGCCGGTTCTCCTGGGCCTCAGCCTGGCAGTCCCTGTGCCCTGCCCTCTCCATGCCTGTCCTGCCCTGGCCCCAGCCCCTCGCGCTCCAGATCCCACACCCAGCTGTCCCCTGTGCACTCTGGAACTCGCCAGGCTTGTCCAAGGGCTGACCCCGGGACCCGCCGCCCTTCCCTCCTGGGCCCGGGCTGTCCGCAGCCGGCTCTCGGATCAGGCTTCCTAAGAAGGGAGGAGGCCGGTTCCGGCCCCGCGGCCCTCACGTGCTTTCCCGGCCACCCCTCCCGCCCTGCGTCGAGGCAGACAAGCCTGTTCCTCTTCCCTTGGCTGCGATTGCGACAGGGCGGCCCGGCTCCCAGCGCTCCCTGTCCCCGCCCCGCAGCCAGCTTGCTGCACTCCCACTTCCTGAGCTCCGCCGTGGGAGCCCTGGAGGCCCGGCCTGGCCGCTCCCGGCCCCGGGGGGCACATCGGCCCTGAGTCCCGTCCCAGGCTCTGGGCTCCCGCAGCTGCCGCCACCGCTGCCCGGGGCGTCGGGCCTCCTGCCTTCCTCCCAGGCCCCCTCGCTGCTGGCCGGCTGGCCGAGTGGCCGCCATGCGCCCGCCTTGGGCCACCTCTGCCCGCGGCCTGGCCTGGGGGCCTCTGGTGCTGGGCCTCGCTGGGCTCCTGGCAGTATCCCAGCCCCAGGTGGTGAGGAAGGGAACCTGGCAGGGCTGGGAGAGGGGTCTGGGCAGCCCTCGCTTCATTCCCTCTGCCCTCCCTCTGACCCCTAACTCTTCTCTCCTCTTCTCCATCTCCCTTTGAAGGTGCCTCCATACCAGTCGGAGAACCAGACCTGCAGGGACCAGGAAAAGGAATACTACGAGCTCAGGCAGCGCATCTGCTGCTCCCGCTGCCCGCCAGGTGAGAGGCGGTGGCCGGACAGAGCAGGGCCTCGGAGGTGGGTCACGGGGGTGGGGGGCGGCTCCAGCCCCCTTGTGGCCTTAGCGGGACGGTGAGCACTATCCCCCCAGGAAAAATGGCTGCTGGAGATGAGCGTGGGAAACCCTGGACATCACCTGCAGGAGCTGGGACTGGCCCTCCCCACTGGGCCTCCTCTTTTCTTACCTCTTGAGAGGGAGCCAGAGGGCCACAGGCAGGGTGATGGGAGGCCAGAGGGGCCGAGGGACAGGCCGGGGTCACACCACAGGCAGCGGAGGTGAGGGTGCAGCCCTGTCTCCTGAGGCTCCACTGTCCCGCTCACCTTCTAGGCACCTATGTCTCAGCTAAATGCAGCCGCAGCCGCGACACAGTTTGTGCCACATGTGCTGAAAATTCCTACAATGAGTACTGGAACTACCTGACCATCTGCCAGCTGTGCCGCCCCTGTGACTCAGGTGAGTGAGGATGTGCCTGGTGGGGGGCGGGGGGAGGCTGGGTCCCCTGGATCTCAGCCCCTCCCTGAGCCCTCCCGTCTCCCCACCAGTGATGGGCCTCGAAGAGACTGCCCCCTGCACACGCAAACAGAAGACCCAGTGCCGCTGCCGGCCGGGAATGTTCTGTGCTGCCGAGGCCGCCGAGTGTACCCACTGCGAGCGACTTTCTGACTGCC